GGTGCGCCACATTGTTCCAATCCGAGTGTTGTGAGTGAGTGTGGGATGGATGCCTGGCGCGGGATTACCACCGGTGCTATTTTGCCTGGGCTTCACTGCTTGGGTGTTACCGCTGGGTCGATTCGGGCACGGTACTCTGGTTCGGGACAGGCTCGGTATTATTACAACGCATTGTTGCACGGTACGGCACCCGACACCGAGCGGTATGATAATAGTGCAGGCGGCGGTAAATCAGAGCGTTTCTTCGGAACCGGCATTGGAACGCTTGCTGGAACGGCACTGGTATGAGACTATTATCGCAACGGCATTGGCATGGGCGCTAATGCAGATTGGCACAACTATTGGCTCGGCATCAACACAAACTGGAACAGTATAGGACTATTCGACCTTGGTATTTGATGGTCCGGCGCTCTGATTTGTTTCAGGGCTGCTGCAGTTCACAGTTTGCTGTATTGATAATGGCACAACACTGAAACAGAGTACTACAGCCTGCGCTGTTCTTTTTGGGGTTCAGAGACAGAAAAAGGTGCAGGCACGTTGCCTGTGCCGTTGCGCAGATTCAGGCTGCGATTTGGTACTTCGACCTTGGAATGGGCACCAGTTCGTTACTTACACAGTCCTGGGACGGCAGGCCATGGCCCGGACCTGCTGGGTTTAGAGATTGGTCACTGGTTTGCCGTCAGAACAGCTACCGCAATGGACCAGGGCGCAATGACCGGGCCTGGATTGACGAGGGCAAGAAATTTTCTGGGCCTGGAGCATTGGGGCCGTAGGGACTGCGACACGGACCGAGTCGAAGCAGGGCAGTTGGCCACAGACAGTGGATATAAGGGAAGTAAACGGGTACCAAGGGTTTTTTTTTTGGAGGATGCGTGCCAGGCGTACCCAGCATCCCGGAAGTCGACTGGAGACGAACAAGCAGTGAGAGCAAGCACGGGCAGAATCGGCGCCCCGGCGGTGACTCCGCCCGTGCGAGGGGTGAACGGGGACATGTTGTCGACATAAGGGCAAGAAGGGATGAAGAGAGTGCGCTGCCAGATATAGAATGCTCTGGCAGAAAGAGAGGGAGAAATCAGAAGGAGAGAACGCACCGGTAGGTAGACAGAGAGTTCCGCGAGCAAGTCTAGCGCGGAGAGAGGCGTGCACAGTATAGGGGAGAAGAAGAGATTGAGAGAGAGAGAGAGATCAAGATGGAGAGAGTTCGAACAGGGAAGAAGGGGGGATTTTCAGACTGATGGGGAGTCAAGCGTGCCCGGCGTACCTCGCCAATGGCCAGCACCGCACTGAGGATTCAGACAGCTCGGTTGGGATTCGGACTGGGGCGAGCTGGGCACGCGTGCAAGGTGTCCACAACTCTCTTGCTGATTGACTGGCCAACRGRGATGGCARCGGAGTCGAGAAGGGACGTCATTCGCCATGTACAARGCGCATTCARCGCCCAGCTCTGTTGACTTCTGCAGTGGTCGAGCTGGCGCATTCTTGTGAGGGAGTGACGAGTGGGCAACARTTGAACGCGGGGGGCGCCTGCACTTACCTGCGCTGGTCGGGTTGGCGCGCTCACGAAAGGAGTGACGAGCAGATAGCAGTAGACGTGTGGTAACCGCTGGAGAGTGGGAGACAGCGAACAGTGTGCGTGCGCTATTAAGCAGATYGGGCAGCTTAGAGCTAGAACGTACCAACTCATAACAGTGAGCCGTACACGATAAACAATTTGAGTTAAGCGGCGCATCAGTTCGCCCTCACTTCCAGGGGCTGACCGGTTGCAGTCCAGAAGTTACTCGGGAGAGGCGGGTTTGAGAGAAACCGTATCAGACGAACCCGGACCACAGTGTGACAACAGGCAGAGCTTCTGCTCTGGGCCACTACTCATGTCCGTACGGAAGGTCTGCGAGAATGGGTCTATACAGAGCTACTCATAAAGCAAGTAAGAGTGAGAGGCACTGCGCAAGATCAGAAGTTCTGCCAACTACTGAAGGGTCGGATGARTAGACTCTCCATGACGAGCACCTGAGCGGCGTGCTCGGAATAGTCGCTCGTGGGTCACCGACCACTCACAAAATAGCATCTGACGCCCTGTGGTAACGAGTACAAATTAGTTATTTCCTGTTTCATCCCTTGCCTTAATCACCATCTCTAGACTTTATCTCTCAAGCTTATCTACTCCTTTTTCTGTCCTTGCGTCCTTCCTTCCTTATCCCGTCCCGTTTCTTGGGCCTATTCCTGTCCTTGCGTCCTTTCTTCCTTATCCCGTCCCTTTTCTTGGGCCTATTCCCACCTGGCTGGACAAACCGTAATTCTCTAAGAATTTCGGAGGTGGCGAGATTCTGATGAACAGCCGCCTGCCAGATCACGGGGTTACTAAGCATTGCGCGTTCTGYGCTACTGCGATCAGGTTTATTTGCGGACTCATTCAACTCAATTTATCCTGCTGATTTCTTCAAAAATTAGGTTCTGACAATGATCCTGTGGTAATCGTGAAGGGGRGGGAYTGTTGAAGGATACGCAGGGTTGACCGAAAGCGAAGCTGATAATCAGCTCGCTCACGCCCTCTCAAACCTGGACTTGCGGATGAGTTCGCTGCCGCTTCCAAAGATTGAGCAC